CTTGGATGGGTAAACAGTTCACCAAGTGCAGTAGTTAGTTGCCTCTTCTGGGAATTATAACTTTACAACCTTTCTACAGACCAGGCTAACTCTAGTGGCTTTGAGGTCAATCACACTAAGTCCTTTTCTTTGTTTCTTCTTATATATTGCTATTAAAGAAATGCATGTCCAAACTGCACTGGTCACTGCCTTAATTCATATTCCCAAGGTTTAGAATCCTCTCGGATACAGAATATTATCAATCGAATGAAATAATTGTATTGAAGAAGTTCAATGGAATTATGAGAGAAACGAACATAATGATTAGTTCTCAATTAATGATACATCCTTAGATCTTATTGTGTTTTTTCAATGAAAAAAGACCAAAAAGTCAGCACAGAGCAGATATACTACAACTACATAATCAAAATCAAGAATACATATGCTATCTAATATCAATAAGAATATCGTACGTAATCAGTGACTGAATAATCCCAATGAATTATCAAACTAAGTAAGAAAGAATCCTCTAAGCAATAACACTAAACTATCAACTATAGAAGGAATGGTAACCCTTGCTAAACAACTAGAAATACTAAAATGAAATCTTGCTATCAAATACCAATTTACCATGAGGGTAACTCAATAAAGCAACACACTACATTATTATTAAGCACATCATAAGAAAACAAAACAGAATTCGGGAACTCGCCTATTTCAGAAGAAATAGTTGAAACAGGCTCATGTAGGAGGTGAGGTGGCATTGATCCTGATTGTTCGACGGCTGAAGTCAGAATGCCCACGACCACCTACACGAGGCCTAGTCCCAAATTCAAAGGGTCAAACAGCTAGGTCAAGTCCAAGACAGGGGTAGCCTTGACCAAGGCTATCAGCTTGTTCCCATATGAGCATGTTCCCGCTACTGCACACAGCGCGCGCCGCGACACACTTGTTGTACTATACCGTTAGTCTCAACAACCCTTGCATGTGCCTTGTGTGCATGTACGTACACCCCACATACACTTCCGCAAACAGCTGTACAGTGAGTCGAGGCGGAGGATAGCCTTGACGCAACCGTGGCAAATTCCTTATGTGTTTCTTTATATTTTCGGCCAAACTCGGCCGAGAATTTCTGATGCGCATATATTACACGATATCCAATCAAAGCCCGTAAACTTTGACCTGCTACATACATATTCATGAACCCTGCAAATTACCGTAAACACCATGTATGTTCACTCAAAAATAAATATCCAGGTATTTCAATCCCATTTTAAACCATTTCTCCAGTTTTATTCCAAACAAATGAAATATGAAGGAACACTTGTTCAAAATGATGATACTATTTCCAATGTATTGCGAATTGGACAGTTCAAGACGTACCGCCAACGCTTATTGTCGGTGCAACAGCGTACATTATCGCCGCTACTCTTGGCGTGACATTCTGACAGCGAATTTAGGGAACAGGTCAACTCGGACCCAGGTCAAATCGTACACATTTTATCGAATGCAGGTTAACTCGTATCTATAAATCCTGTCGCAACTGTAGGAATTAACTGCAAGAGACGAGCTATTGACTTTGGGATGGAAATATACAAAACTGTCATATAGGGACTTGGTGAATAAAATCTCTCCCTGAATTCGTACCATGTGCAACATATTTCTCATACGTACGACACATGTATTTTAACGCGTACGTACGAATTGTATGTCACACCTACGACATGTACGTATGACATGTAAGTCGTAAGTATAACATATAAATCGTAGGTTTTTATACATACGAGTTGCATTAAATATGTCGTACGTACGAGATACAAGTCGCACACATGCGACATATATCGTACCCTGTCGACTCGACATATCAGATCGTACATAGGCCTATATGTCGTACCTGCACCTGTCAACATTATTTCATATGTTTGATATGTCATACCCTGGCGACATATTATGTCGTACCCTGTCGGTATATTAGTCGTACTCTGTCAACATATATACCGTAATTTCCTGCGGATAAGACGCGTCTTATCTGACTTTCTAGACCACAAAAACATCGCTGCGCCTTATCTACAGGTGCGCCTTATCTGGTGTCGCTTGAGTTCAAAGTGACGGTCTTTGTGTGAAGAATTCTTTACATGCCGCAATCAATAGTGCGGTCAACCAAGGCTCAACTCTCCAGACATTGTGACCGTATTTTCATTCCAACAATGCCGCAATGCGTTGATCCCCCTTAGTGATCGTGCTTTCGTTCCAACAATGCCGTCATACAAACGTTTTTCTTTGTGGCCGTTGTATTAGTCACCGGTAGAGGGCGCAACATCTGGCTCGGAGGGACTGGGCAAGTCTACGAATCTGATCCAGCGTGCGTGTTGCAATATCTTCAGACAGTGCGTGGACCATCGTTTTTGGCCGCTGATTGGGCCGCACTGCATTAACAAAAGGCCAAGGAAGGCCAGGATCGGAAACCGCAAGCAAGCATGCACAGCTTTTCTTCATGGCTCTACATGTGTCCAGCCAATGTGGTTACGGTTTAATTCATCCTCCGAATAGTGTGATCATTCTAAGGCAACACAATGGCCCCTTTGTGGCGATGTACCGACACCGGGTGACGCCTGGTGTTCTTCTGTGTGTGGTCAAACATGCGTCTTATGCGGCGGTGCGCCTTATCTGTTGGCGTTTGAATTTTTTGGGGGTGATTTTAGGGACCTGCGCCTTATCCACCGCGCGCCTTATCCGCAGGAAATTACGGTATGTCGTACCCTGTCGATATATTAGTCGTACTGTTCTTTTTCCTCCATGATACTACATATAACTTATAAGTCGTTCATACAAGTTCAAATCAGTCTTAAGTTAGCTGAAGGAGAGACAATTTTTTTCCCATATCCCCTTGACAGCCTAGTAGAAATACCCCCAAAAGTCAGCGGTAGATATACTCAATAGTGTGAGCGCTTTTTTTGGCCGCTGACCAAGCAAGCGCAGCGTGTCTTACCGCATAGCGCAGCCCAGCTGGTGCCTCACAGTAAATGTTGACGGTGACATCGTTTTTGCCGGCGTGCGGTTTGTACCGTTCGTCGTTTTGTGAAAAGTCTAATTTTTCATACTTTTCATTTCATTTTCGACCCAAACTATGTATAACTATGTAAATATTATTCTACTATTATATAAGATTTCAAGGTTTTTTTTTACAATAATTATTGTTACCGCAGGCCATGTGGTTTATAAACCTTTGGTCGCATTATGCAATTTAATAAATATTCATTTTTTTGTCAGCCATTATCCAATGAGAGAAGACTATTTACCATAGCGCGTACTAATTATCATATTGAGCCTACATGGTTGCGTCAAGGCTATCCTCCGGCTTGACTTACTGTACGGCTGTTTGCGGAAGTGTGTGTGGGGTGTACGTACATGCACGCATAGCACACACAAGGGTCGTTGAGGCTAACGGTATAGTACAACTAGTGTGTCGCGGCGCGTGCTGTGTGCGGTAGCGCATGTAGCGGGAACAAGCTCGTATGGGAACAAGCTGATAGCCTTGGTCAAGGCCAAGACAGGGGCAATAAATAATGGGTCGCCAACCTTGTCCGCACCAAAATGGAAAATTTTGGAGGTGTGGTACTTACATTTCTGTTTAATGTATGTGTCTCCATTATTAAAATAAATAAAAAATTTAATCTGCATAATAAGTTTACATGACATTGTAACATTTTATTGTGTGGAACTGTATGAAGGCAACATTGAAATGAACTAGTGCAGGGCCAGTTGAAAATGTGCCTGTTCGCAAGGGCGGCTCCAGAACACAATTTTTTGGGGGGCCAAAAAAGATTTTGGCAATCTTGGACGCCCCATTGTCCCTAATCCTCTTTCCTTTGTTTGTACTCTCAGCTCTCATTGGTTTTGTACACAATTTGAGATCGGGGACGTTCGGTCAATCGTGGATGTATTGTTTGCGCCCCAATTCTTTTGTCCTACGTCCACGATTGCCGGTGTTTACATACTCACACACACACACCCAAGTTTACGTTACATACCAAGTGTGGACTTTCCATTGCTTTCGTGTAGTTAAGAAAAACCAGTGAAAAAACTCATTTTTCTCAAACTGTGAAAACTCTTTCAACCCAATTTTTTTTCTATGCTTCCCTTTAGTGTTTCTCTTCATTCTGCTACGGATAAACCTAACCCAAAAATGCCTCTAAACCTGTTTTCCAGAAATGGGGAAACACTGTGTGGACTTGCCCAAGTCCGCACAGTGTCTCCTCTACCTGGTTTATGTGGACATCTTTTGTTCGGAAGTCCACACAGTGAATGTAATGCCTGTACACACAGTCGTTTTTTGCTATGCTTCCGAGGATTGGCTTTGTGTTTTCCTTTGTCCCTGTAATATAACACTCTCCCATAGACTAAGCACACAAACCTGCGTTCGAGGACAATAGGCACCTTCCTTCGAGGATCAATGGCCCCTTTGTGCTCCTTTTGTTGTCTGTCCTCAGGCGTAATGCCATGCAGGAACACCCACCCACCCACGCACACACAGATTCCTGGAATTATAGTAAGGATGTTTATACTTACTATAAACAAACAAACAAACATGAAAAACGGCTAAGTATCTCGTTTGAACGACTTGTTACGTCATTGAAATGACTTGTTTAGACAACCTTTATGTCTTGTTTAAACACCTGATTGTGCAGGCCACAAAAGACGTGTACAATGTCTATGGGAGTTTGTGGCGACAAAAAGGAGAAAGAAAAAAAAAAGAAAAAAAAAAGGCTTGTCCACAACTGCGTGGAAAAGCATTTGATATTACCAACAGCTACTAAATCCAAAATATACACATAACACAAATTCAAAGGTTGTTACAGTTGATGTTCTGTTCATTTGCAGAACTTAAGTTTAACTGTCATTTTTATTTTTATAAAAATCAAATTTTGATCTCCTCCCCCTCCCTCCCTATTGCACATTGCACATTCAGGATACTAACAAAGCATTTAACTAACTTTTCGTTTTTGTTTTTAATATGACAGACATTTAACCTGCACAACAGGAGATTTGAACATGCCTACTGCTGAAGAAGAGGAGTCTTTAAAAGAACTGGTAAGAAACATATTACGCAAACCAATACCTCATTTTCATTTGTTGAACAGCCCCTCAACAACACCGGTTATGTAAGTTTTGGTTACTGGCTATGTAATTTTCCTTGAGGTTTACCTCCCTTTCGTGTCACTTCTAAACACTTATGTGTCATGAATTCAATAAAAGTCTTTAGAGGGAATATGTATACAACACTTGCACGTATTAAACCATGAGAGTACCAAATTATTATAAAATACCTCACTTGATAAGTAAACAATATTCCCAGGCATCCCGTAAAATTAGTACAACCGGTATTCTGTCATTTTCAGGAAAATATGGGTTTTGTACATTTCTTTATAACACTGGTTGACCATTAGTCAACATTTTGTTTGAAATTGGTTACACGTCAAAGAACAGGCGCAAGGGAGCAGGCCAGCTACATGTAGTCTGGTTTCTTGACCTGAACATTTTCTGTGTCTATAAATTGTTCCGTCTGGTCAGGGAACCAGATTGCAATGAAGCCAGCGACGTGATTAGTCGACTTCATACGCACCCCTTCATGGCCATACAAAAGTAGGTGGTCAACTCCAAGTCAAACATGAAGGTGGACAGAAGGCAAAAACGTTGGTTATACTGGGAAGGTTAGATTTCCGTGATCCTTTGTTCTGACATAAAATTATTCATTACTTATTAAACTGGACTGTGTCTGATGAAATGGTTGTCGGCCCAACCCTTCTGCATACATGTAACTCAACAAAACGCAACAAACACCTTGACCTCTGGTTGAATTTGGATTTTTCCCCCCCATAAATTACAAGTACTCTTTACACCCTGTACTGTAGCACACCAACACCAACCAAAGAACTCAGAATGAGCAAAATCTGTCCTGTTTATACCCTATGAACTGCATCTTGCGTGAAAAACAATACACACTACTAGCCTAACCACGCCCACGGTTCTAAAATTGCAATAATATCCCTTACATTCTCCAAAATTAAACAGCAGAATCATACAAAATATCATACAAAAAAATCTTGAATCAATCTTCAACACATTGTGTAAATGTAAACTGCCCTAAAATGTGAATAATTGCACAGAATTCCCCCTTAATACTATTAAATGAATTAATACAATCATAAAATGTGTTCTAAAAACTACATGGTAATACCAAGGCGTGACAATCTGGGGTCCTACTTGGGTGTGGCTAGGCGGCTATGGACGTCTATAGGCACGGAGAGTGAACTCCTATCCTGCGGAGAGCAGTGGGCTAGTCTGGCCCAAGCCATCTGCGGAGAGCAATGGGCTAGTCTGGCCCAAGCCACCTACGGAGAGCAATGGGCTAGTCTGGCCCAAGCAATCTACGGAGAGCAATGGGCTAGTCTGGCCCAAGTCACCTACGTAGAGCAATGGGCTAGTCTGGCAAAAGCCATCTACGGAGAGCAATGGGCTAGTCTGGCACAAGCCATCTTAGGAGAGCAATGAGCTACTCTGGCCCAAGCCACTTACGGAGAGGCTAGGCGGCTATGGACGTCTGTAGGCACGGAGAGTGGACTCCGATCCTGCGGAGAGCAATGGGCTAGTCTGGCCCAAGCCATCTGCGGAGAGCAATGGGCTAGTCTGGCCCAAGTCACCTACGTAGAGCAATGGGCTAGTCTGGCACAAGCCATCTACGGAGAGCAATGAGCTACTCTGCCAAAGCCACTTACGGAGAGGCTAGGCGGCTATGGACGTCTGTAGGCACTGAGAGTGGACTCCAATCCCACAGAGAGCAATGGGCTAGTCTGGCCCAAGTCACCTACGTAGAGCAATGGGCTAGTCTGGCCGAAGCCATCTACGGAGAGCAATGAGCTACTCTGGCCCAAGCCACCTACGGAGAACAGTGGGCTAGTCTGGCTCAAGCCATATACAGAGAGCAATGAGCTGGTCTGGCTCAAGCCATCTACGGAGAGCAATGAGCTAGTCTGGCCCAAGCCATAAACGAAGAGCAATGAGCTAGTCTGCCCCAAGCCATCTACGGAGAGCAATGAGCTACATGTAGTCTGGCTCAAGCACTCTACGGAGAGCAATGAGCTAGTCTGGCTCAAGCCATCTCTGGAGAGCTCTTGACTTGGAACATCGAAGGAGACCATCAGAGAAAGTGAGCTAAAAGTGGGCTCACTATACCAGCATTGTCTTGACTTTGCTCTTGAGACGATTCGGCGTTGACTACCGAAACATTACAGTTGTGGGGCGACACACAGAACAGCAGTGAAGGGAAGTGGACCGAAGCCCCCCGGCTGACCCCGTGGTAGTAGTTTGGCGTTTGTGACACGAGGGTAGTTGAACCCAGCCTTACGGTATATGCTCGTCAAAACCAAAAAAATACAATACAGTGTGCAGTGATGAAGGCCGCTAGAATTGTAATACATCTGTGTACTGCATACTCAAGGTGTGCCTAATCCTCAGGTGGACTGCAGGCTCTAAGCGTGCCTAATCTTAAGCTTACTAAATATGTATATGAATCTCTTACATATTATAGCATAGTTTATATGTGTACAGGGTTCTAGCCAGGCATACAATAGGATATCGGGCCGATACGCTTCGAAAAAAATCCGATACGCTTGAAGTTAGCCGATATGCTATCGATATGCTTCACATTTTCCGTGGCAAAAAAAAAACTTTCCAAGGTTTTCTCGCTACTTTTGGAAATCATCGGTTTGTCTGCACAGTATCATGAGCCACAACATAAAGACTTAGCCACCAGACATCACTTCTAAGTTCTTGGTGATTAATTACAACTTACAGTTACAAGATTTATCTCAAGAACAAACCTGCCACAGTGCCAGCATTTATATGTCACGTTCGGCCTTGCCTTGTCTGAATTACGCGGCGCGGCATTTATCACACACACAGGAGCCATGTACACATCAGCGCGGCGTGGCCTAGGCATTGCACCGGCAGCGGAGCCTATTCATTGTGTGCGGTGCACACGGTGCCGATGCAGTATGGGCCGTCAATGCACCAGTTCATGCGCCGCGCTACTGCTGCACTGCACTGCGCAGGGCCGGACGCAGCGTCTAGGACGATACCATTTGTGGCAGCACAGGGGATGCCTTTTCTCATCTCGCCAATCATGATCATCTTAGTCACGCTTTGATTAGTATTTCTTCATGTTTCAACCACTTTTTGCAATTTTCTTGTTTTGGGCTACGAAGAAAAATTGACTCATTCTACATCTTACATATTTTTTAAACTTTTGTTTTTGGGTTTGGTAGCTTTGGTTGTCTGTTTAAACGCTTTGGTCAGAATAATACCATTAGAAAGTGATACATGTATTGTTTTGTCTACCCTGCGTGGATTATTTCCCCTGACCCATGTCTGATCTCGTGGCCGGCTGGCCCAATGCAACATAATCATTTTCTTCTTTGTCTTAAGCGTTTTAAATAAATAAACTAGCATTAAGAACACTGCAAGATAGGAAATTCCGTAGTTTACTGAGTTTGAAATGGCTTTAAATTCGAAGGGAGGGAAAATTACAAGTTGGTTCAAACGTGTACGTGCCCAGCCGGAGGATAATAATACAGATGCAGATGTCAGCAAGTCATCAAATAGTTCAGACGACTGTCTTGGCAGTGAAAATGCCAGCAGCTCCACCTCGCAGACCAGCAGCAGCAGCAGCAGCATGAGCGCAAGCCTGACTAAAAGCTTTGACGAGAAGTGGCTGGAGATGTATTGCTGGGTGCTTTGAACACCTGACGGTAAGTTCCAAACAGACCCACATCATTTAATAAATTTATCTCTTAATTTATCCCCTAAAATTAGGAATTAAATAATAAAATAAATGTAGTAGTTATAAAAATTTTAATAATATACACAGGCTAGAAGTCGCCATTTCGAAGAGCAACAATGCTGCCCTAAAAAAGTGCAGAATTTTGATTGAGGGAAATTGTTCCCGAACTTTAAGCAGGTGTCCGTTGCCGGATATCCCACGTACGTGCGTGTCGCAGGTGCCTTATGAAAACCCGACTCCTGTGAAAATCGGACCCCTTTTCCTATTTTGGTGAATCCCTCTCAGGTCACACTGCTATTGATCATACATACGCATGCGTATTACTACCAAAGAGTCGACATTTCACGGAGTCTGATATTCACGCTACACCGGCACCGCGCCTAGCGCTTTAGCGCACACACTTGGCTCGTCACCAGGGTCTTGCGCATGCGTGCCAAGACGTTTTTGTGGAACTCAAAAATGTGTGTTCAGACCAAACAAAAGAGCATTAATAACAATTTTGGAAGGAAAAATGACAATAACCAACAACAATCTTGGCAGGAAATCGGCTAAAACATTTGTTCAACATTTACAATGAAAAATATCTTTGAGAAAAAAAATTAACCAGCAAAATATTGCGCAAGCTGTGATTCAATATCATTCTATTTGCCTTCGGCTCATGTCAGCAAGTTGGTTCGCGCACGTTCTCACGTACATGTACATGTATGTAGGCCGATATAATGTAGGCCTATATGTACATGCACATGTACAATGTACAAAGACAGGGTTACATTGAGACGTTACACTTCAAGTCCTGCATGTGCAGCCCCCGGTACTTGGCACACCTTTTTTTGGGGGGGGGGGTATCAAAATTCAGGCGCCGAATTTACCTCGTGTTTAACAATAATATTGATAGTATACAGACGTGAGACTTTGTCAGAATTAAGACATTTTTAAATCTATGAGAAATACTTTAACAGTGTTGAACGGTATGCATATTCAGAATTTTTTTCAACTGACAATCTCATGCGTGGGTAAAGTTATTAGTAGAACAATTTGAAATAAGTTTAAGGCAAACAAGGTTTTTATGCACTAAAAGTTCAATCGCAATGTATCATTTTTCTGGAAGCATTAAACAAAAAGCATAAGTTCACTATTTTAATTAGTATAATTTGTTAAAAATGAGACAGCACACATTTATTTTGACCTAGTGCATTTGAACATCAAACATTAAGAAATTATTTGATTTTAACAAAAAAATGAATTAAGTTAA